ATAAATAAAATACCAGTTTGCACTTATTAACCAGATTGTCATATGTTGACTCTGAGAGCTCTGATTCTGAAATTTGAATACTGAATATCACTTCAATCCTGAGCTTTGATGCAAGAATAAACAGCTTGAACTCCCAAACACTGATAATGTGAGTTATAGCAGTGCTTGGTATTAATCTGTGCAGTTCCTGTAAGGAGTCAAAGTTTCATTCTGTTGGATTCACAGCTATGAGTCTGGCAATGTTGTTGGAAAACAATGGTTTGGGTTTCTCTCCATCCAGCTGCTTCCAGTGTTTCCCCTCTCCTCATTCTTTTTCTCCTCTCAGCACAGCATCCAACTCTTGTGGCCACTTTGTGTCATTCCTCTGACTCTCCTGTCAGTGGAAATGGATGTCAGTGGTGTGTACTGCTGTTATCCCATCCAATGCCATGGTGACTTTCACTTCTGCTGGTAGTCCAACCAACCCTTTGCATACCAGTTTTGTGACTTTTACCTCTGCTATTTGAGATTTTAGCTCAGTTCCTTTGTTCATCAGAAGCTGTAGCTTCCCCAGACAGGCAGCAGTGCTCTCCTTGTGAAGTCTGGGTTGCATTTCCCTTCCCTGCCCATTACTGAGTGTCTCTCAGTTTACTTTTTTACAGAAATATGCATCATTTTACAAATTCCGGGTGCAGTAGTTGTATGTGGTTTAGGTCATGAACACTGTGACCTCCAGTTACTTTTATAATTTAAAAAAAAAAATAGATAATTCCTACTTGCCTGAAAAATCTTATTTCTAGCTGCATTACATGGATAAAATACTGTCAAGCTATAAAACTGTTGTAGCTATTACTGCATGTCTAACATAGAGAAAGGGAGAAGGATGCTAAGAGATGCTAAGTTCATTTGAGATGTTAATATTCTAACATTTATTTAAAACTTAGATTTAGTCATTAGATTAATGCTTTCAAAAGCACTAATAGCTGAATGCATCGAAGTAATCCTCTGGTAAAATTCTCCTACCTGATTTACTCAGGAACATAGGGCACATCTCCAGCTTTGAATACATCCCTTGCTCAGATACAGCACATGTCCCCTATGGAAATAGGGCAGGAATTCCAGGCTTGTCTAAACTCGTCAGTTCAATTCAGCAAGGTGATTCCATGAGGCTGTAGATGATTACACAGTTAAAAGTCTCTAATAACTCAGATAGTTTAGAAATTTACTATGGTCCAACTATTGGTAGCACTGACCACATAATGATTACTTTGTGACTTGTGGTACTAAGTCTGGAAAAGTCCAACTTGTGAATTTTTGAGGTCACATGGTTTCCTCATTGTTCTGTGCCTGCCTTTACTTTCAAATTTTTGAACTTCAGTAATGGTTTCTCTGATGGGGGGAAAAAACATCTGTAAGGTGTGTAATAAAATTTAAAAGTCTGAAAATATTTCTCCAAAATAATTGGCTCAGGAGAGAAGGTCAGGGATTTAATGCAGCCACATTTGGTTCATCCTCTTCATATTGCTTTATATTTTCAGCTGAAGGTTTCTGCAAATGCCTGACAGCTTTTAAAAAAAAACAAAACATGAAAAGTTTCTAAATTTTGGGTACTTGTAGAACTATGAACTGAACTTGCACCTGTGTTTCAGGGTATGTTTGGCAGGTGATAGGCTGTTTCCCACTGTATCCAACCTGCTGAAAAGTATAGCCTGATGTACACTAAAAATAAGACAGTTAAATACAGTTGTTGTATAAAGGTTCAGTAATGATGCTGTAATTGGAAAGGGCAGGAGGTGGAGTTTGTGTTAGCTTTCCTGGTGCCCTGCAGCACTAAACATTTCCCCAAGTCTCCAACAGATCCTGTTTAAAGTGTTTTCCAGTTGAGCTTTGGACTTCGAGGTTTGTGCTTTTCCAAATTCTTGTTAGCAATTGCAAAAGCTAAAGCAAACAAACCTCTGAGAAACTGTTTGTGAATTAACTCTTACAGCAAGAACCAGAGTCCTCAAGAAATGCTATGACAATGTGATGCTGAAGATAAACATCAGGGGAGGGAGCAGCAATATCACAAGTCTCTGTAAGGTGCTTTTTTTATAGTTAACAGATGAACTAGTGTATTTCTGTTATCAATTGGATTATTTTCTAACATGCACAGGAACTGCATAGCATTATATTTTGTAAAGTCATATAAATCCCATTTGGTAATGGAAGGAAGTTACTTCTAGTAGAGGTGTTATAAAGGAAAAATAGGTTGTGCACATATATCTCCAACCTTCTTTCTTTTCCCTTGCGTCTGTGGGACTCAGGGAAAAGATCCTTTCTTGTTTTTATAAAATCCTATTAAATAGTAACTATTTTTTAACATGGCAGTCAGGATGAGTGCTCAGCAAAAAGCTATTTTTATGGAGGTATTGCTGCTTAAAATTGTCAGGCATCTGCAGCCAGAAAGGTTTAAATATATCCAGGGATATGTCGGGAAACAGTGCTCAGGTGGAAGGTATGAATGACATGAAGATAATTTGCAGGGATTTTGAGAAGTGCTATTGCAGGAGACATGGAGGAGCTCTAACGTTTTGAGGGAGAACTTACAACTGGATGTGTGGAGGGAGAGATGAGAAGGAGGTAGGTCGAGTAGAAAACAGGCCTGTCTGTTTGCATTACAGAGCTTGTGCGTGGCTGCAGCTGAGATTAACCCAGAAACAGGACTGAATGGGAGGAGAGGAGGAGATCAGAACCTTGTATATCATGTTTCACCTCCTGCAAAACCAAACCAAACCCCTGGCTCTGTCCAGGCAGCTGCTCTGAAGGGTGTGCTGGAGAGGGAGCAGGGGCAGCAATAGAGTAACCAAGAGTGAGGGAAGATAGCAAAAAAAAAAAAAAAAAGTGTGGTTGATTCATGTCTGAAGGATGGACAGAGGACATTAGGGTATTTCCTCCAAACTTCAGCTGTGAGTAGAGTGATTGAAACTCTGGTAAGGTCTCTGTGGTTGGTGTCTGAGCTGGCTGAGCAGTGTCTGAAGCAGCTGGAGAGAGCACACCTCGTTTGTTGTCTTGGAGATAAAAGGGAAAGGCATTGGCAGTTCAGTCAAGAGTGGATTTTTACTAGAGACAAGCACTCTTGGATTTTGATCCTCAAGCTGGAGAGTAGGAAAAGAGTCAGTACGAACAGGTGCATAACACTCAGATGAAACAGGATCACTGGGATAAAAATAAGAAAAGGATTAGGGTAAAAGAGCTGAGGTTTGAGGACTTTTTTTAGTGTAGATGTAGTCTACTAAAGGCATTAGATGGTAGTAGAGGAAAAAGCCCAACCAAGGAAGGAGCAAACAGGTTCAGGAAGCATGGAGACCAGAATGGAGAGAGATTGATAGGTGTCTTTTAATTAGTAAATCCCCTATAACATACTTGATACAAGTCACAAGAATTGCAGTCTTTCTAATACAATAATTACATATGCTACAGACAGTAAATTTTCCAAACCTATAGGAAAGAAGTTAAAAGCTAAATGGTAGACACGAAGAATAATGAATTTTCTGCAGTATTCAAGAAGTCAACAGAGTAGCTTTTTCTGCATTAATTATTGTTTTTCCAAAATACTTTTGTTACATTTGTGGCTTACTATGTTCTGCTCTCTCCTTCCAGTATAGTCCAGAACTGGTTTTCAGTCAGGTGAGGTTTTGGTGCAGCAAAGAGAAAGTGTGAGCAATTTTGTGGGAGTGTTTTAGCAACATTCTTGGCAGGAGAGAAGAAAGTATCTTAGTGCTGCTTTGGCCTGTTGGTCAGTAATGTTTCCATGTGTTTGTAAGGAGCTGATGTGAGAAGCTGCTCCTTTTACATCTTGGATTTTAACAAATGCATATGATATTAGTATTCTTCCCTTTCCAAAATTAATTTTACCCCAAACCAGAGAGATTCAGTTAATCAGAAATCTGCTTAAACACTTGTAGAACAGGTGTTCTGCATCTTAAAATCTGCTGCACATTTCAGTGCCCAACTGATGTTAGGATAAAGGGCAGTTAAAGCTCCAGACTAAGTGATACCTTGGTTTATAACACAGTTATCAGCTGCTAGGTCTGATTATATTGCAACTTTCCTATCTTAAATGCTGTTCCCTCTTGGTCCTTCACTTATACAGAGCAATTAATACACACAAAAAAAAAGATATTATTGGAGACGAATTAAAGCTACAGAAGATGGAGCTTTGGGAGTTCCTTTTCAGTAGACATTTAAACACAGAAGTCACAAAGCTCTGCCCAGACCAAATGGTAAAGAAAATGTGTTCCCGTTTTAATGATTATTGCCTGTTTAACATGGGATTTCTTGCAGCCTTGTCCTTGAATAACCATTTCTTCACTAAAATGACACAATTTTGTAGCCAGTGATCCATGACTGTAAATATTTGGAAGGGCTATCGACTCACTGAACTGGAAGAAATTAAAGATGTTGAGGCATATTTTCAAAAGTAGAGTTACACATACTGTAAATTATATTTGATCATGTATATTTTATTTACAGTTTGAACCATGAAAAGGAGCTCTGCACATGTACTACAGCATCCAAGATTTCTGCAATATCCTTAACTAAAGGGTGGTAGCTTTGTTTGAATCAGCGCTCTGTGGAGCTGCTAACACCTCCAGCACCTCCTCGTGCTCCACGTCATGGTCCCTGCATGTACCTGTTCCTCCTCGTGGTAGTCACTCTCTAGGTAAATTGTCCATAAGGCCAATGATTCCATCAGCAAATTACCCAGAAAATGCCGTCGGTGCACGTGGTGACATTTGTGCCACTGGTGCTTCCTTTGCCATTCCAGTGGGCTAATTCAATTGGCAGTTTTCTCTTGGTCCCAGCATCGTCGTCTCCCTTCCTTTGGCACCTTAGCTCAGACCTTCTCCTTTTCGCTGTCCTTTTAGCTGAATATCAAATGCATTATTGATTGCTCCTCTCCCACCCTCCTCACTTCCACTCCCTTCAACTTTCTCCTCTTTTTTCTCTTTTTTTTTTTTTTTTTCCCCTGTGATTGGCAGTACCATCCAGACAAGCAGGAGGCAGATGTGCCAGCAGGAGAAGTGGAGGAGCGCGTGCGGCGGTTCATGGAAATCGATCAAGCGTGGAAAATTCTAGGGAACGAGGAGACAAAAAAAGAGTATGACCTGCAGCAGCGCGGTAGGTTCCTGCCAGGGAGTGCTGCAGTGGCAGCAGCTCTTTAAAAAAGCAGGGGCTGGGAGTGGTAGGTAGATGGTGTTTTAAAATGCTGTTTAGT